GGAGGACGGGAGTGAAGACGGGGAATCAAGGGGGGATCAGGAGTGTCTGCTCGGCTTTTGCCTGATGCTACTAACTAGCTTGGTTTCCTATGTGTTCTTTTTTTTTTTTTTTTGAGAATTTAGTTGTTGGAAATCTATGGTTAATATTGTTTTTCTTTTCTTTTTTCTATTCTTTTCTTCGTGTGTACTGGATTTGGTGATGGAGGCGTTCGAATGTTTGAAAATGTTGTAGGGAGGAGAAAGAATGAGAGGAATAGAGAGAATGTAATAAAGCTTTTCTTTGTTGTTTTGTTTTTGAAAGAACTGCCACAAAGCATGCGTATACGCTATTCTGCTTTTTTAAGTACAATGACTTTTTGTTGGGAAATAAAAGTTATTGTTTCTTAGTTTTTTTAAGCTACTCTGTTGACCTCATATTTCAGAGTATTTATATGTATGTTCTTCAACTTGTAGGGAAAATGTCATTTGGCGCGTAAGAGGTCACACCCCCTATTTGTGTCACGCGAGATGGGCTACGCGCCCATCTTGCGTGCCAAATAGCAAGGTTGAACTTAGAAATGTTCTTCAACTTAGAAAAGTAGACCACTTTAACCTTTTTGTTTACGAGAACTGTAGTTTTTGTTGATGAAATTTTCTTTCAATCCCCTAACACCTTAAAGTTATTGTATTTTACATCATTCTTCTTCTTCAACCTTTCCAAACTAAAATGTCTTCAACCCCTTCACCAATAGGATCCTCCTTCACTCTTTCTTTCTCTCTCATTAATAGAAGCCTCTCTTCTCCTTCAACCTTTCTTGATTCGAACTCACACTCGTAGAAGGGCTTCATTGGTGAGAGAGAAAGAGAGGGCGAAGAGTATTCTTAGTGGGTAAATTGTTAGAAGAAATTTGAGCTAAGGAGAAAAAGGGTGTAAAATACAATAACTTTAATAAGTCAGGGAGCGCGAAATAAATTTTCCTAACAAAAAAGTACTATTCTCACCAAAAAAATTCATCGCTGATAAGATTTAGTACCAAACAGATAAAAATGGTTTAGGACACCAGGGTAACTTTTAATATCAAACATATAACGATGGTCTACTTTTTAATACCAATATGGTATTTTAGCCTTCTAAAATTAATTAGCATGTGAGTCTCACATAGTTTTGAATGAGAATTTTCAAAGGGAATTCTCAAGATCGCATAACTATAAGGATATTAAAGTACAAATTTTGAAAACTTTAATGTTATATTATTGCTAGAAAAATTACAAGTGAGAATATATAAGTACTTAATAAGGAAACTATGGGATATTTAAGTGCAATTAGAGCATATTTGATGATTGGTCAAATTGTCTTATAAGCCACTTCTGTGGCATATAAGCCAATTTGACATGTTGGGTAAGTACGTTATTTTGGCTTATAATCTACCAAAAAATAGGCTAGGGTACCCGAGCTTATTTTTTTGTGTCCTATAAGTCATGAGGTTTGACTAAATAAAAGACAAGGATGCCCTTTATGATTTCATGAAATTTAATGCCTCATCTAATAACTCACCGTCAGCTGAAGACATTTTCAAAAATTTTGGGGAGTAAACTATGTCGTAAATATACTCAGTTTTTCCTCACAATATTGGAACTCAGACTCTTCTATAATTGCCTACAATTAATAAGTAAATAGTACTCAGTTTTTCCTCACAATATTGGAACTCAGACTCTTCTATAATTGCCTACAATTAATAAGTAAATAGTGACAATTTATTAAAATCATATAAACTCTTCTATAATTGCCTACAATTAATAAGTAAATAGTGACAATTTATTAAAATCATATAAAATAAAAAATTAGGGAACTGAAGGCTGTACCTTATCGTCGGTGTGGAGTAGATCCCGATGATCAAAGGAGGAACTTGAACCCCTAAACCAGAGATCAAGGCGGCAGATCTGAAGTTCAGATCAGGGAGGAGTTTCGATTACACCCGAATCAGAGAAGATCACCTCCATCAACGAAGGCGACATGCACTATGAAAAGCCCCATCATCAGAAAATCACAGACTTGTAAAACCCCAACATCAGAAAATTCCTTTTGAAATCAAGGGCTACGCTTCATCGAGGTGACCCAGCACGGATCTAATCGACCATTTTAGATCGATTTGCTGCCGATTGATGCGTCGGCTCCCTGATTTTCCTCTTGAATCGGCGCGAAACGGAGGAGGGAAAGGTAGAAGAGAAGAGGCAACTGAAGATGAGGCGGTGAGGGTATCAACAACGGGTCAAAGTTCTTCGAGCGAAGAGAAAAGGAAATGCTAAGCTGGAAGTGTTGTGTCAGATTTCCAGTCCAATTCCACTCAAAAATAGTGGAAATGGGGTGTCCAAAAAATACTACTGTTTGTCAGTATTTTGGCAATCCTTTTTCTAAAAAATGGGAAACAAACGCGGTTTTTGAAATCCAAAAAAGCCCAAAAAGCTGCTTTTTGTTCCATAACTGCAGTTTTCCTTAAAAAAAAACCCAACCAAACAGAGAAGAAGAATAAAATAGAAAAAGTATAGAAGGACAGAAGAGGGGAATAAGGTAGAAAATTGTACTAAAATGTTAGTACCCAAATTGCGGGTAAAGAATGGGCTTGTTTGGATTGAGGGGAATGAGGGTGAAGGGAAGTTAGGGGAACCATTCACCTCCATTCACCTTGTTTGGGAACACTTAGGATGTGAAGTTAATTCACCTCCATTCACCTTGGTTCACCCCCTAATAGTATAAAAATTGTTACCCCCCAAATTGGGGTGTAACCAAGGGGAAGGGAATTCCCTTCCTTTCCCTTCCTTTCCCTTCCCTTCCCTTCACTCAGTTTCCCTTAACTTCCCTTCACCCCCTACGAATCCAAACAGGCCTTTAGGGCCTGTTTGGATTTTTTAGGGGTGAATGAAAGTTAAGGGAAACTGAGTGAAGGGAAGGGAAGGGAAGGGAAGGGAGTTCCCTTCCCCTTGGTTACACCCCAATTTGGGGGGTAATAATTTTTATACTATTAGGGGGTGAACCAAGGGGAACTAGGGTGAATTAACTTCACCTCGGGCTTGTTTGGATTGAGGGGAATGAGGGTGAAGGGAAGTTAGGGGAACCATTCACCTCCATTCACCTTGTTTGGGAACACTTAGGAGGTGAAGTTAATTCACCTCCATTCACCTTGGTTCACCCCCTAATAGTATAAAAATTGTTACCCCCAAATTGGGGTGTAACCAAGGGGAAGAGAATTCCCTTCCCTTCCCTTCCTTTCCCTTCTCTTCCCTTTACTCAGTTTCCCTTAACTTCCCTTCACCCCCTACGAATCCAAACAGGCGTGTTCCCAAACAAGATGAATGGAGGTGAATGGCTCCCCTAACTTCCCTTCACCCTCGTTCCCCTCAATCCAAACAAGACCCTAGTCATCTCGCAAACACACCAAAGATAAACAGGAAGAAAGGGAAGGGGAAAAAAAATCCTCGAGAGAGATGAGCAGCGGCGGAGAGAAGGGCGGGAGCGGCGGAGGGGCGGATTTCCTTAAATCGATCAGAGGCCGTCCTGTCGTCGTCAAGCTCAACTCTGGTGTCGATTACAGAGGTATGAAATAATAAAAATAATAACAGCACGTTGTTTAATCTCTAGGGTTTCTTTTACTTGGCCTGTCAAGTTCAGATTAACTCTGTCAGTCTTAAGATCGTGCATAAAGTGTAATAAAAACCCTAGCTTGAGACCTTTGTTGTTGGTGGTGGTGGATAGAAAGCCTGATTTTTTGCTCGTTAGACGATATTCTGTGGAGAAAATTGGTAGGCAGTTGTAAATTTAGCAGTTACTGCGATGCTTCAAGTGGATCCTAGATTATTAAAGACACTGGGAAGTAAAACCCTAAACCCTTTTTCTTTAGATCTGATTTTTTATTTTATTTTATTTTTTATTCTAGTTCAAGGAACGATGCTCTCTTAGAAAATCTAAAGCATAATGTTCGTGTTTCTAAACAAGATAACATGTTTTGATAGCAGAGGTGAAGCAACCTCTCACTGATTTCTTTTTATTAAGAAGTTATCGTCAACTCAAACTTTAGAAATCCTCGCCAGAGACTTGTGTAACAAAGTAGATTGTTAACCTCCATATTGTCTATGGCTTTTAACACTGTAATGGCTGCGTTTCCTTCTAAGAATTATGTGACAATTCACAAGGAAAATCTATTATCTCAATTTTTTTAAAAGAGAATAACTTATTTAATTCTTCTTTGTCGCCTGCTCCAGCTAAATGTTTATGTAACCTTGTTATGCTGTTATGTATATATTATGGTGTACGATTATGATTAACATGCTGCTGTCATATGCTGCACCTTGGATGATGTGCATTCCATACATCCTGTTGGGCAACACGTGTTTTTTCCCCTGTCAGGATGTTTGATACTATTGTTTCTTTGTCCTCGTGGTGCTTGTTCTACAGCTCCTTTATTTGGCACCAAGGAGTGAATCTGCATAATTAGCTACTATCGGTATTGCAATAATTGTGCTTTTAACATTCTAATGTAATACCCTTTCAGGGCAACCTAATTTACCCAATTATTAAAAGTTCTTGCATTTATCAACATCTAATTGCTTGGGCCTGAGGCATACCCTTTGCTCGTGTGATTAGTTGGCTTTATCAGTGTAGCTGAAGCAATAGTTGCTTTTATCAATACTGTCCATTATGTCTCAATTTTCATTTGTAACTGGAGGCTAATTCGTTTCCAGCTAACTACATGTTTATTTGTTCATGAATAACAAACTTACATCTGTTCAACGTTTACACGAATGCCATTTGAATGTGTATTTGCATGCGGATAAACCTTTAATCATTAAGTACAGCCATCAGCACCACCACAGCAAAGCCTCTATTTCATAGTTTTGGCATTTGGACATATATGAATTTTTTTTTCTTTTTTCAGCTCTGTTAAGGATTACCTACATTAGCTTTGCATATACATGTTTCGATTGCCATACTTTGTGTTTGTTTCAATTGCCATACTTCGTGTTTGTTTCAGCTATCTCCTAGCCCTGGTGGCTCCTTCAATCATAGTCAAACACCAGTTTCCATTATGAACGTCCAAACTATTTTAAGTGTTGTTGCCTCGGTACCCTCCGTTGAAGTTATGCTTTTTGCCCTGTTCTTTTAACTTATTCTGCTTATTGCTCATTCAATTCAGCAATCTTGCATTGACATCAAACTGGATGCCAGCTACGAAAATGACTCTTCTTTATTTGAGGCTTGGTCCTGTAAGTATAAAAACATGAAGTACGTACAAATGTATGCAGAAACCAAAAAGAGATTATACCTGTATACCCAAAAAATTGCAGAAATTTCATTGATAAAACTAATGATTAATGTATCTGACTCAGGCATGGAGATAAGAGTTTATCTTGGATGTGTCAGCTTTTAGTAGAGTAGGTGACCTGTAAATTGTGGGACTCTTGTTATATAATGGTTTAAATGTCATCTTTCTCATTTTCTCAACTTGTACTGAGCTTATAGTTAAGAACTTAATCTTATTACATTGTTTTCTATCTGTTAACTCTTGACTCCTATGAGTTCTTTTGAGTCAAGTAACTGCCGTATAGCTTTCTACTGCGGCACTAATTTATTGACATTCCATTTTCTTGGGATCTTATTAAATATAGGGCCTCTATGTTGAAGTGATCTCCATGCGCTCTCTGTTGAGAAACATGATGTGTGCTGGAACAGTGTAATTAAATAAAAATCACATGCAAACATCCATGACGTTTTGCAGTTATTTGTGGTTACAGTATCTTATATTTGCTCCATTTATAATCTGCTATGATCTTAGCCGCCTCAAATTTCCAAAATCTAACCCGTTTGAATTTAAAAAACTAACCTACAGTCATTATGGCTACTAGTGATTTATGTTAAGCTTGGAAGTGTTTTGCTCGTGGTACTGATCATTGAGCAGGTATCTCTCAGGTGAAATTTAGTTCAGCTTATATTTTATTAGGCAGAATCCAATTTTATCTGGCACACGTCTGATCGAATTGGTCTTAGGCTCGTACTAAATTTAATATGCAATGACCATGAATTAAATATTGGATACCTGTTGGTTGGATCATGATCTTGCTAAATCTTTGCTTTCTCATTGCTCAATGCTTAAACCTGTAAAACTTTGTTGCAGGTATTCTAGCTTGTCTGGATGGGTACATGAACATTGCAATGGAACAAACAGAAGAGTACGTCAACGGTCAGCTGAAGAACAAGTATGGTGATGCATTCATCAGAGGCAATAACGGTAATATATCCAATGTTTTTCATATCTGCATATTTGTATCCCATTTTAACATTAGTTTTGATTTCTTTATTTCTTTTTCTTTTCCTGCTTGATTTTTTATGTTTTCTTTCGAATAAGTTTGTGTTTTTTTCCCTCCTCTTTTCTTTCGTAATATGTTTGTTTTTACAGTTCTCTACATCAGTACTTCAAAGAGGACTCTTGCAGAGGGTGCATGATGATGCTAGTCTGGATACAATATCTCATTATCTGTTGTTTTATGGGTGGAGTAATGGCAGGCGTTTTTAAATGTATACTTATTTGACCATGTTTACTGAAACTTGATTAAGCGATGCTATCTGAAATTCATGTTTGTCGAGGGGCTGCAGTTTTTCTATACCTCAGCTTAGTCGACAACTTTCGGGGCATTATGTATGATACATCTTTCTTGTGTGTTATGACCTCACAACTGTTGAGATTATGCAGGGGAATTCTGAGTTATAAGATGCGAAGACCGTAAGATTTTGTTCCCTTTGTAATGGCTGATCTCTGTAATGGTCGTATGATACGGATCAGTAAGTGGACGATGAAGTCTCACACGCGAGGCTGAAGCTCATAGTTTTACTTTTAGCTAAATAAAAATTTTCAAACTCCTTCCATAGATTCCCATTTCCTGGTGCGTTATGAAGGCGGATGCGATATGATATATATTATAGAACAATTTTTTTAAAATAAACCTATTTAAATTTTTTATTAAAAAAACAGAACTGCTCCTATTTTATTTACACAAACCGACCCATTTCGTGGTCACGTCGGTAGTGTGGCAACGAAATGAATCGGTTTTTTTTAATCTCATCTCTAAATGGTTGGGGTTGTCAACCCCGACTATTTTAGAGGCCCCGCGTAAAATACAGGCTAAATTAGTCGGGGTTGGCAACCCCAACTAATTTAGCCCGTTGTCTAATTTGTTGGGAATCCCGACCAATTCGAAAGCCCGCTATCGAAATGGTCGGAGTTCCCAACCCCGACCATTTAGTAGAGAGTTATGTCCAGTCGTCGAGTGGAGCTGGAAACGGTTAAGGGACAATAGTCGGGGTTGTGAACCCCGACTATTTGTTACCTGGGCCCCCGCCTATATAAAGGAGACGACTTCATCTCCCAAAGCTCCCGTTCGTTTCCAACCGCCGCTCTCCTCTCATTTTCGCCGTTCTCCTCCTCCCAAACTCTGTTTGAGCCACCAATCTCAGATTTCAACCTTAATTTTCGTCTGAATTTCATAGTGAAAGATCTAATAGGTAATTTTTCTACATTCTCTCCTACTTTAACATGTAGAAAATCTAGGATTTTTTTCAAAAACGAATTTGTAGGGTTTGAACTCTATTTGTAGTGGTTTATTTAGAAAATTTATTCTTGTTGTAGTTGAAATTAAACATTTGGGGCATAGAATACTTTTAGGGTTTAGGATTTGGGGGTTTACGGTTGTAATTGGGGTTTAGGGTTGTAATTGATAATATTTTTTAAATTATTTGTATTTAAATGATATAATTTTGTTTTGCATAGGTTGAACAATATGATTTTTATTGCTTGCTCTTATGGTGGAACGATTAATTATGGAATGAATAATATGCTAATGTACGTCGGAGGGGTGATAATCCCGTTAATGATATCAGAATCATATAGTTACCTTGACTTGGTTAATGAATTGCATCGAGTTACGACAATTGACCCACGAGAGTATCGTCTAAAATAATATGCAATTGGTCGATAACTTATGATAGAACGTCCGCAGTTGAGATCTCAAACGATCATTCGATGAGTATTTTGTTTAATTTGAGCAAGTCACATCCAACGGTAGAATTATTTATTGAAACAGTGTCGTATAGTACGAGCCAAATATTCAACCATCTAGGAGAATTCTCACGCATGTTAGATTTGGGAGTTGAGTCTGAAGGCTTTCTTTCTTCTTCGAGTGGAATGGAGCGGACTCAACTTCAATATCACAATGGTGCACCTTTATATGAAGAGGATGAAAGAAGCGACGCCTCTGATGGTGAAGATGAAGATAATGCACCAATTGACAGCATGCAATTTGTGGGTGAAGATGATGAAGAGAATCTGGATTGGCCAGATGAAGCTTATGTTAATTAATGCAATATGTTAGTCGAAGAACCCCCCCCCCCCCCGCGGACGACGTTGGAGGATGCATCAGTGGGTTCGTTCTTCTACGGTACATGATATGCGCATTGGCGAAAAGTTCTCAAAGAGGCAAGATGATGAGGAGGTCCCTTTCAGACTTGGTGAATTATTCGAGACTAAAGACCAATTGGTTGATGCTATTCGTGATTACTCAATCAAAAAGTTGGTCAAATTCAAGCAAATTAAAAGCAATCGCACAAGTTATGAGGGAATATATTTTATGAATACATAAAGGCAAGGTCGGGCAGAGGTGAATGAATCTGATTACGCATGTCCTTAGAAGTTATATGCATTTGCCAGAAAGAAACATAATGGGTATTTTAGGATCACAAAATACTACGGTGTTCACACATGTAACAATCCAATGTTCGAGAGAGATCACAGTGGTGCCTCCGCCTCTTACTTAGCTCGGTTGATTATGCCAAAATTAAAGAAGAAGCTTGAACTAAAGCCCGATGACATAATTGATAAAGTGTCACATGTTAAGTGGATTGAAATAGTATATAACAAAGCGTGGAATACAAGGATAATTGCGATGACAAAAATATTTGGTGATTGGGAGAAGTCTTACGCGGCATTGCCTCAATATGTTGATGTGATCAAAAAAAGCAATCCTGGATCTGAATACAAACTCATAACCAAAGAGGTCAATCCGGGAGTTCATAAATTCACCTCTGTATTTTGAGTATTTGGTCCTTCGATCGAGGGATTTAAATTTTGTCGGCCGGTTCTTAGCATTGATGGGACACACTTATACGGTAAATATAAGCGTATATTGCTTGTCGCTACAGGAGTAGATATAGATGGGGGCTTATTTCCTTTGGCCTTCGCAGTTGTGGAGGTTGAGAATAGTGAAAATTGGGAGTGGTTTTTTTCTTGCATCTAATTATATATTTTTAATGTGTTACCTCCTAGGAAAATTACTTTTATATCCGACAGGATGAAAGGTATTCCAAGAGCATTGTACAGGAGATTTGACTCTCATCACCATCACCGCTATTGCTTACGACACATTAGGGCTAATTTAAAAAAGAGATTTGGCCAGATACATTTACAAAACCTTCTTTGGCAAGCTGGTGTTACACCCGAAACGTGTGTGTATGATCGGATATGGGATGAAATCAAGGCAACATCTCAAGCTGCACATGACTGGATTGAGAGTAGTTTGGGAAGTTTACGTCGACCGGTGGGTACTAAGTGTAGGCTGTTTAAAAATCACAATAGATAGCCTATCCAAACAAGCTCCGACAACGGAGGTCACAATCAGACGACTTCCCAATCAATGCATCCGCAACTCCACAATTGTCACAAACACGACCTCACTTCTGAGATGATTGATCTTGATGGCTGCGACAACAGCATGAGATGTTGATGAGCAATGGGATGATTTCAGAAATAAAAGGTTGGACTTAGTTGGTGAATTGCTTGGTAGAGAGCTGAGGGCAAATATCCGTCTTTAAGACACTATGGATGTTGATTCCCGTCTAGCTCCTACAACGAAAGCTACAATCAAATAGCTTTCGGGTCGATAATCGAAACATACAGCCGAATAGTTGCTTAGTAGAGAGCTGTGGGCAAATATTCATCTTTAAGACACTATGGATGTTGATTCCCGTCTAGCTCCTACAACGAAAGCTACAACCAAATAGCTTTCGGGTCGATAATCGAAAGTTGCGAATAGAGGGCTTTTCACATAGATCGAGAAGAGTTACAATTCAACGACACTTCTGACGATTGATGAAAATTCTATGCAGCAGTCTTCACAATCTACAGTGAAAGTTACAATCTGACGACTTTCACACCCCACAACAGCTAAAGCCAGGATTACTGAACAACGGTCCTTGCAATGCACCACGGAAGAAGCTACAAGTCAAATAGCTCATTCTGAGACGCGGATGTCATCCCCGCGTCATCACTTTGGAAATGAAGGCGACCCCCGCGTCGCCAAGCCACAATCCAAACGCGGGCGACCTTCGCGTTCATAGGGGTTCAACCAACACCGACCCCCGCGTTTCTAAGCAGGCAACAAGCTAAACACGAGTGACCCTCGCGTTCAATGGTGTTCAACCAACAGCGACCCTCGCGTCGTCAATGTACAAACCAATAGCGACCCTCGCGTCGTTGATGCACAAGCCAAACGTGAGCGACCCTCGCGTTCAATGGTGTTCAGCTAACACCCAACTTCGCGTCTCCAATGGCTCTGTTGGAGCACGCGAGGTCTCCGCTTACATGTCAGGGAATCACGAAGACATCGCCAAAAGAGTGGACGAACATCATGTCATGCTCCAGGCGCAACAAGAGACACTTCTCCAATTAAAGGATATGCTGGCTCAGCTTCTTGCTGAAAAAGGCCACAAACCTGAATCTTCCCGGAGAACAACTTCAAAGGGAAAACAAAAAGTGCACGAACATTCAGATCGTGAGACTCACAACCTGGGATCCTCTTCTGAAGGTGAGAAGGAGATGGAGAAAGAACTGCACCCTCAATCTACTAAAGTGGATGAGCTGGAGGCTCGCCTTAACGCAATCGCCAACCGAAGCGAGCTCCGGGAAGAGGGAGTTGTGCGGCCTTACCCTGCTGAGTGGGATACAGCTCCCTACCCACCGAAGTTTAAGGCCCCTACCTTACAACCGTTCGATGGTACAGGATCGCCAAATCAGCACATTTACTACTTCAAGTCCCAAACTGGGGATGTAGTAGCAAACGACGCCATCCTGACCAGGCTGTTCATCGGTACCCTTAAGGGTGTCGCCTTCGAATGGTTCATGAAATTGCCTGCCGGATCTATTCAGAAATGGGTAGACCTGGAAAGGCTATTCTTGGCCAGATTCTTTGAGGACGACACGGAGGTCTCGGTCCCAACTCTTCTTGCCACTAAGCAAAGGAAAGGAGAGTCCATCAAAACCTATGTGGAGAGATTCCGCAGCATGGCATTGCGATGCCCCTCAGGTATGACCCAATCAACTCTGGTTGAAACTTGCAGGCACAACCTGCAGACCCAGCTCCTTGCTCAAATGGGGGTGGCAGAATGTCGCTCCTGGAGACAACTAGTCTCACAAGGAGAACAAGCTGAAGAAATAGTGGCACGGGTCAAAGCCGAAGAAATGCCACAACCCAAGCCGCAGCAGCAAAATCAGCAACGCAACCAGAACAACGCCCAACGGTCTAAGGGGAAGGAGACCTTGGCGGCCGACTACACGCGAGTTCCACCGCCGAACAAGCAGGGCAAAGCGCCAAATCAGCAAAGAGCGCCCAAGCAGTATTCGTTCAAAGAGGAGCACGTGGATACATTATTCCAATTGCTTCGAAAGAACAACAAGCTGCAATT